TGGGAGGGTGGAGGGACAGCACAGGAGGGGAAGGCCCTCTATGAGGTGGATTGATTCAGTGACTGGGATAATTGGGATGGGAGTGTCAGAGACAGTACGGTTGGCACAGGACAGAGCAGAGTTTAGGGCTGTTGTACATAGGGTCGCTATGAGTCGCAAGCAACTCGACAGCACATAACAACAACATAGTGGAGAGTTTTTATTTTTACTCCTACAGGTCTTCATTTAAAGTAGAGCAACTAACACAGACACACACAACTCACATAGACTTGCAGTGCTGGCCACTGGCATGTGTATTTTACAATACTGGCTGAAACATATGGAAATTTCTACCTAAGCATGTAGATACCGGAGAGAATGCATGGATATATGAAGGTGATAAGAGGATGCCAAGAGCTGATTTTTCAAAGATCTCTTGAGGAAAAAAAGTATTTTGGCGCCGTGAGACGTTTGAAACACCCTCTCTTAGCATTTCCTCGCTGTACGAGGAGCAATGTGGCATCAGGATTGGTGGAAGAGTCATCAAACAACCTGTGTTAAGCAACCCTGCTTGCTGAAACTGAGGAGGACCTGAAGCGCTTGCTGCAGAAGGTCAAGGACTGACTGCAGTCTTCACAAGAAAACAAAGACTTTCACCACTGGGCCAATTGGTAGCATCAGTATTGATGGTGAAGAGATTGAGATAGTTAACAGTTTTAGTTTGCTTGCCTCCACAGTCAACACTCTTGGTAACAGCAGCCAGGAAATCAAGAGACTAATTGCATTGGGAAAGTTAGCTGTGAGGGACCTCTAAAGATTACTGAAGAGCAACTACATCAGGCTGGAGACTAAGGTCTGCCTGATCCAGGCTATAGTCTTTGCAATTACATGCTATGCATCAGAGAGACAGTGATAGGGATGATAGAAAGAGAATTGATACCTTTGAGCTGTGGTGCTGGAGAAGAGTGTTGAATATGCCATGGATTGCTAGGAGAACAAACAGGTTTGTCCTGGAGAGGGTGAAAGCAGAATGCTCCTTGGAGTAAAAAATTCTGAAGCTTTGTCTGACATACTTTGGGCATGTTGCAAGGAGGGACTGGTCCTTGGAGAGGGACATTGTATTTGGGGGACCCTCGATGAGATGGATCGATTCTGTGAATGGAGTGGTGGGTATGAGTGTTTGAGACGGCAAGGTTGGCACAGGATAGAATGGCATTTAGGGCTCTTGTACATAGGGTTGCTATGAGTAGCAAGCGACTCGATGGCACATAACAACAACAACAACAAGAACCCTCAAATCGGATCCGACTGGCACAAAAGGAGACTGCCCCTCCTTCTCCAGGAAGAAGCATTTCCAGCGTAGAATCTTGTGGATTTGAATCACACTCCTTCAGTATTGCTGCGCAGCTTCTTGCCCCTAGACCACCAGAGCTCCCTTTCTGTACATCTCTTCAGTTAATACCACTTGTGACAATCCCTAGTGCTGCCACACAAAGCCTTTTGTGTTGGGTCCTAAAGGATGCAAGAATTATCAATGAGTTAGGGCTTAAGAATATTTTCCTCTAACCTCTCAGCCAGTGCAAAATGTATGGCGGCAAGAAGCATTCTTGCACACTGAGGAATCACGTTTTGTCTGACAAAACAGGTGAAACAAAGTCAAGTTTATAGCTAATGGCCCAAGGTCTGGATGTGGACTCTGACGCTAGTGGCCACAGCTGCCCCATTGAGAACCGTACGGGCTGTGGAGACCAAGGGTCCCCCGAGAACACGAAATTGTCTTGTCTGCGAGAGGAAAATTGCTCCAAGTCCAGACACTGCCACCCCCGCCACCCCTGCTCTGCTGCTCGCGCGACCGACTGCGGACTACAGGTACCGGCAGGACCCGCGGCGTGGGCCTGCGCCATTCACCTGCGCAGTCGGCTTCAGACTACAGGTACCGGCAAGCCCTGCGGCGTCGACAGAGGCTGTCCGCCCGCGGCCGGGTGTCCCCTATTGTCTGGCCGCGGGCCGGGACGGCGGGTGTGTCCACTGGCCAGTCATCGTGTCTGTCGGCGCGGCCCG